TCTCAAGTTGATGCTGTATGTCATGGATATTTAGATGCAAATACTGGGATACCAATGCCTCAGTATAGCCACACATGCACGATATAGATTCATGTCATATTGTTGTGTGAACGAGTGCATTAATATCATTAATATCACCATCGGACATGGGTGACAGATTCAACAATTCCAATGGACTCCCGATGGCGTCTGAGGATAGCGAAGAGTTTCTGACCATTCTGGGGAAAAAGATGGGCAAGCTCGTGAAGGGTGGCGATGCAGAGCCCTGGAGAAACGACTTTTTACTCTTGGATTATTTTTTTTGTGAAAAAGCATTAATTGCTGATTCAGTTGCATGTGATGATTGAACAATATTGAACATGCGTATCAGACTATCTTGTTTATCTTGTGAGACTTGTGGAGTTTCAACAGATTTCAACGCATTTCAAGGGATTTCACATGGGATTTCAACGATGTGTGTTGTCTTTTTGTCAGATTTGTTAGATTTCTCAGATGTTTTTAGGACATCGACACCGCGGCTCGCATCGTCCTCTACGACTGGCAGCGCGGGCGCATTCCGTACTTCACCGCGCCGCCGGAGCTGCTGGAGACCGAAGAGGACGAGGCCGGCGCTGGCGGAGCCGGAGCGGCACCATCTGGGCCCGCAGGGCACGTTCCAACGGAAGCAGCGATCGCGGAGATTCCGTGCGTCCACGTCTTCGATGAGGAGGACGTTAAAAAGTGACCAAAGTCGCATCAAAAGTCGATTTTTAAAAAAAATGATGAGATTGACATGATTGTTTTAAAAAAAAAAAACAGTTTGATCTTGTGCTTTGAAATGCTTTGAATCTGTTTCTGGTCATAGTCTGTGAACATAAGGCGCAATGCCGCATACTGGTAAGGTTGACTTGAAGGTTGACTTGAAGCTGTTTGATGATGTCGGGCTCTCGCCGTTGCAGGATCGGCGTGGAGAAGCAGCTCCAACTGCACCAGCTGCACCAGTCAGGAATCCCAGAGACACCGAGGACCCCACAAGTCAAAGAAAAGACGCCATGGCAATCATGGCATGCCATGGCCAAATATAGCGAAATATTGCCAAATAGGGTGAATATGTTCTCATAGGATAGATCTGCAAGGACAAAGATAGGAACAGATTGTCATGATGGTACTCACACAAGACCTGGAAGAAGTAGAGATGCACTCTGTCAAAGTCAGTCATGTCTCCAGAAAATTCCAGGAAGACTTTCCCATCGAGTCTCCTCAAACGTTGAGATGTCAGGCAGAAGAAGCAGAAGGAAAGGAGGCACCGGCTGATGCTGAAACACGAAAGCGACCCGCACCTGAGGTGGGGTGTCTCCGTGTTCCCGAAATTTCCCGAGCAGGTTGTCCATGGTTGTCCTCTACGCTGCGTACTCCACTCGCAACACCTATACTGTACTTACTATACTTCAAGTGATTTTGAACCTTGATTATATTATACATGGTATACATGGTATATTTCAACAAGTGCTTAACATATGGATGTTCCATAGAGTTGCTGTCATCGGCCCTTTGAGGCAGAGGTGGCCGAAAGGCCCAAGAAGGCTCGTAAAAGAAAAGCACGAAAGACGAGGTGAAAACTCGGTGGCGCCGGGTCAACGGGTCGGAAGATTTCAGATGTTTGGAATGGCAATGTTTTGGAAGTTGAGTCTCTGTATGTCTCTCTTTTGGCCGAAGGCCAAGTACTTTTCCCAGCCAGGACTTGTAAATTGGCTTAAATGTTTAACATCATCTTGTATTTTGCCAATGTCACAAACATGTTTTCCAAAGTGAGAAATCGTTGAGATGAGAATTGAGAAACATCGAATTTCTTTTGAATGGTGATAATGGTGAATGTCGCTGTCCCGAGGCCAGCTGCAGCGACAGCCCCTGGGCCTGAGCCTGGCAGTTTGGACTGGAAGGCATGGCACATGGCACGGGACATGGCGGGCGCATGCTTTGGACTTGCTCCAAATGTGCGAAACCTGGAGCTGGAAGGACAACACGGGAAACCAATGGAAACCACATTACCATAGGAAACTTGCTTCACAAATCGGATTCTGTCGCCATTGGCAACTTCAACATCAGGATTAGACAAACAATTGGCACAATTGAAAAGGATCAAAACATGCACAACGTGATGCGATGTGCATAATGTGTACGATGTTCAAGTATGTTGGCTGAACAGACCTGCAAGGCAGTCGTCGCTGAGTTTGGCATTTAGTGAAACCACATTAGTTTTTGCATCGTCACAATTTCATGTCTCACAGAGTCTCACATCGGGAGTTTTTGCTGCATCACCATCAGCCAGCAGACCCTGGAAACAGTGTCGATGCTTCAGTGGAGCACATTGAGCACACTGAATGGCAGACGAATTCCTCAGATATGATTTGTTTCATGTTGTTTGCATGTCTATTCGAATGCATGGCTCTATTATTGTTGCTACTTCTGCATATTTCTTGTCCGCTGCCCGTGCCTTGGGGTTTTGGATTGCATCCGCTTTCAGACTGCTCAAAGCGATATTAATTATGAAAATGAGTATTCTGTGCGGGTATGAATCAGTGCCAAACAGACAAGCAGACGACAATGGACCCCAGATCTTCCGATGCTCTTGTTACAATTTGTTACAACAGACAAGCAGACAAGCCACCCGACTTTGACCGGAAGCAATTTGTGCGGTGAAACGGTGAAACGATGAAACGAGAAATCGAGCTTTATGGCGCATCAAGACATGCAAGACGTGACACTTCTCTTGCTTACGAAGTATGAAGAGAAGAAGAGAAGTGTGACAGAATGATCAGAAAGTGATGAGAAACGTGGTGAAAAAATGTGAAAAACATCAGTTTCGAAAGTTGCATGAGAAATTCGTGTGGACGCTGGGGCGCTCCATGTCGTTGCGTCACTTGGTGTGGACGCTGGTCCCGTCCTCGGTGCAACGGTGTCATCCCGCGTCCTGTGTGATGCGTGTGCCGAGGTCCGCTCAGAGCTGGGAGAGCTGCGGCCACAGAGAATCAAAACAACACAGTGCCATCAGTGCCATCAGTGCCATCTCCAATCTGAGACGGAACCTGTTTCAAACCTGTTTCAAACCTTCGCAGTCGCATGAGACGGAGCTTGCTGAAGGTTGGAACCAGTTTCGCTGTTTCAGCGCTTCAAAATGTGACGCATCTGTGACAAAAACACTCGTCACTGAGGTCGGATGAGCAGCAGCTGTCGCATCCTCAGAAGTCATGTTCAGGGGTTACACTATGTTACACTCACAGATGTTCTCTGGATGTCCTTCTTATTTTGTTGTGTTATTTTTTCCCCCGATGTTTTCTGTCTCTCTCTTTTGAGCGCCCTGTTCTAAATTGGATCAACAAGTACTGTAAAAAGTTGGTGCAGCTCGGAAATGGGCATGCAAAAAGGAGGTTGAAAGATATCTAGATGTCACATGATGTCACATGATGTCACATGATGATGGCTGTGGCAGCCCACAATGACCAGAGGCAGGTCAAGTGAAAATGTAGTAAGACACTGGCGTTGAAGACTTGTGAAGATCTGTGACAAACTTTGAAATCTGTCGGATCTGTCGTTTTTTGCTGAGGCACCAGACCTTTCTGCAGATTTTTCAGCAGCTGAGTTCTTCTGGCCGAGGCTTTGAGAGGATGTGAGTAGGCATGAGTAGGCAAGCAGGATGTAGAGACAAGATATGGCAAGATGATGCAAGATGATGCAAGTAACAAGGGGAGGCAACGTCAAAGGCAAGACATAGGGAAAGATGGTATCAGATGGAACAGGAAACATTTTTGAAATTCAGCAGAATCAAGGGTCAATATGGTCAATGAAGGGGTGTCTTTTTCAAGAGATATGAGGCAAAGTGAGGCAAGGTTGAAGGATGCAGACACGGATGCGAAGAGCGAACAGAAGAGGTGCCACGCCGCATGAAATTCTTGCCATGCCACAGGCACAGTTCTTCGTGCTGAAGATCTCATCGTCCAGCATTTGCAAGGATTGGAATCGGACTGGAATGAGTGGAAGCGAAAAATTGCTCCGACAGGAGGTTAAAACGAAAGTCCGCCTTTCTCACATTTACTCATCACCATGATGTACTTCCCTTCTCCTTCATTCTGCTGAAGTCCTTTCTCAATTTCCATCATCTTTCCATATCTTTCCATCATCTTTGCATTTGATTCATCTCTTTTGATCTCCTTTCATCGCCTATCTGACCTATCTTTCTTTCAATGTCCGTTTCATTCCGTGAATTCCCAAAGTTTCACGGTGGATTTCCCGCGTTGCGTGGTTTCTGAGGACTTGGGCGGCAGCGCGGCCAAGACAGGTGCCGCGATCCCGAGATCCCGAAATCCGATACAACAAATGTGCGGTTCGTCCGGATGTGGAGAAAGATGGAGAAAGATTACACTCTGGAAGAGTTCTCATATATTCAGTATATATTATATATTCTCAAATCTCAATCTCATCAATCTGATTCATATTCTGACAGGAAAGATTTCAGCTATTCATCAACTTCACCTCAGATCTCATCATTTCACTGCCGTCCATTCTGTCCATCGACAACACAGGCATCTTCGGTTCCAAAGTTTGAGAACTCGGCTGCATCATCCCGCTGCGAGGCCTCAGAGTTGTACGAAATCCTAGATGTAAGGAGCAAGAAGGAACAAGGAGGAACAAGGTAGAGCAAGAAGGAACAAGGTAGAGTATGGCAGCACTTTTGAGTTTCCTTGAGTTTGACGACTTGTTTGCTTCCGAGTCTGAACAGACTGCAATCCAAGCCGTGCATCTTGCGGCGTCTTGCGCACAGGTCGGTCCTGGCGCTGCTGTTTCATCTGCGAGCTGATGGAGGCATACATGGAAACTGAGATGCTAAGCAGAGAAAAAAATGACCAACATCAAGTGAAAATATTGAAATTCGTTTATGTAATGTAATAAGCCGACGTAGATCCCCAACAGCGGTTGGTTTCAAACAGTGGTCCAACTTTGCAACCCAAGACGGATTAATGATGGCAGGAACAGGATTCCATAGCCTAAGTCTCTTCGGCGATTTTTTGCCCGCCCTGCCCCGTCCCCTTTTAGACCAAAGGCAAGATGAGACATGTTCTTTAAGAAAGCGCGCATAATTGAATTTACATACATTTGGTTACAAACGAATGGCAGTATTTGCAGACCACGGTGTGTCATTAAGTGTTTACAAAATTGTGTGTGTGTGTTGGTTTGGGATTATCTTGTCGTGCTTGAACAACGTCGGTCAGTTTGCGCAAGTGATTGGTGAAACAGTTGGTTTTGGCCAAATTGTCCATCATGATTCCAGAATTAGTTTCATGTCAATACTTGGTTGTTGTGTCACAACTGTGTCTGAAGTTTCATTGTGTGTTGCTGTTTGGTCACTTAGCTTTAAAAAAAATCATCTACCTGGCTTCGAGAAGCCTCACACAGGTTTGCTGCCAATATTTAGGTGTTCCAAGGCATCGAACTTAATTGCTTGATGTGGCATGTGCTTTGGTAGATGCGACATCGGAACAGTTCAAACAGAAGATTTTACAGCAACATCAGAACAGGTCAGTCGACCGACGCTGTGCGCCCACTGAGCAAACGAACATGAATCGGCATGTGCGGAACCCGCCACAAAGCACCCAAGATTGGCTGGGGGGTTTCCGGAATCCCTTGTGTTCCTGGAACCTTGTCTTCCTGGAACCCTCGTTTCCGGAACCTTGGCACAACCCACAGCGTATATTGGAACCCTGGGTTTGCGGAACCGAGACGCGCTGATTTATTGTCACGCTGTGCCCCCCCCTGTCAGCGATTGCTCGTTGACAGGGCCTATATGGTCCTGGAACCTTGGTTTCCTTGAAAATTGGTTTTCTGGGACCCTGTCCGTAGCATGAACCTTGGTACAACCCACGGCGTATACCCGACCCCTGGGTTGTTTCCGGAACCTCGGAACCTTGCCAGAACCCTGGTTCTCTGGAACCTGGGCTGGGCTTCTTGAAAATTGTTGTTCCGCAACCTTGTCCCTGTCCGGAACCTGTGGCATAATCCAGGAAGTATATCCAAACTGTGGGTCCGCATCCGCGGTGGTTCTCGGAACCTTGTCGGAACCCAGTGTTGCTGGAACCTTGCCGGAACCCTCGTTCCCCAAACTCTGGGTTTCCAGGATGTTTCAAAATTGGTGTTCCGGTGATTCCAGAACCGCTCGAAACCATGGTAAGGTTCCCGGAACCTTGTCGAAAGCCAAGTGTGCCCGGAACCTTCCTGGCGCCGAGAACCTGGGGATCCCGGAACCTTGACGTCCCGGAACCCAAAAGGTAGCCAGAACCCATTGTTCCCAGAACCTTGCTTGAAAGTCTGGGTTGCGGAACCTGGAACCTTGCCCCGAACCCTGGTTCCCGGAACCCTGAGTTCCGGAACCTTGCCCGGAACCCTGGTTCCCGGAACCGGCAGCGGTTGGTTTCAAATAGTGGTCCAACTTTGCAACCCAAGACGGATTAATGATGGCAGGAACAGGATTCCATAGCCTAAGTCTCTTCGGCGATTTTTTGCCCGCCTTGCCCCCTCCCCTTTTGGACCAAAGGCAGGATGAGACATGTTCTTTAAGAAAGCGCGCATAGTTGAATTTACATACATTTGGTTACAAACGAATGGCAGTATTTGCAGACCACGGTGTGTCATTAAGTGTTTACAAAATTGTGTGTGTGTGTTGGTTTGGGATTATCTTGTCGTGTTTGGACAACATCGGTCAGTTTGCGCAAGTGATTGGTGAAACAGTTGGTTTTGGCCAAATTGTCCATCATGATTCCAGAATTAGTTTCATGTCAATACTTGGTTGTTGTGTCACAACTGTGTCTGAAGTTTCATTGTGTGTTGCTGTTTGGTCACTTAGCTTCAAAAAATCATATACCTGGCTTCGAGAAGCCTCACACAGGTTTGCTGCCAATATTTAGGTGTTCCAAGGCATCGAACTTAATTGCTTGATGTGGCATGTGCTTTGGTAGATGCGACATCGGAACAGTTCAAACAGAAGATTTTACAGCAACATCAGAACAGGTCAGTCGCCCGACGCTGTGCGCCCACTGAGCAAACGAACATGAATTCGGAATTCAGTGAGGGGCCACAAAGCACCCAAGATTGGCTGGGGGATTTCCGGAATCCCTTGTGTTCCTGGAACCTTGTGTCCCTGGAACCTTGTCTTCCTGGAACCCTCGTTTCCGGAACCTTGGCGCAACCCACAGCGTATATTGGAACCCTGGGTTTCCGGAACTGAGACGCGCTGATTTATTGTCACGCTGTCCCCCCCCTGTCAGCGATTGCCCGTTGACCGGGCCCTTTTGGTCCTGGAACCTTGGTTTCCTTGCAAATTGGTTTTCTGGGACCCTGTCCGTAGCATGAACCTTGGTACAACCCACGGCGTATATCCGACCCCTTGGTTGTTTCCGGAACCTCGGAACCTTGCCAGAACTCTGACCTTGTCCCTGTCCGGAACCTGTGGCATAATCCAGGAAATATATCCAAACTGTGGGTCCGCATCTGTGGTGGTTCTCGGAACCTTGTCGGAACCCAGTATTGCTGGAACCTTGCCAGAATCCTGCTTCCCCAAACTCTGGGTTTACAGGATGTCTCAAAATTGATATTCTGGTGATTCCAGAACTTTGATATAATTCAGGCTCTGACTACTCGAAACCATGGTAAGGTTCCCGGAACCTTGTCGAAAGCCAAGTGTGCCCGGAACCTTCCCGGAACCCAAAAGGTGACCAGAACCCATTGTTCCCAGAACCTTACTTGAAAGTCTGGTTTACGGAACCTTGGGTTCCTGGAACCTTGCCCTGAACCCTGGTTCCCGGAACCCTGGGTTCCCGGAACCTTGCCCCGAACCCTGGTTCCCGGAACCGGTTCTCGGAACCCTGGTTCCCGGAACGGGCGAAACGAGGCGGCAGGGTCGAGCAGTGCCCCGGAGCACCCCGAAGGCTATGTGGGCTGAGACCCCAAAGCATTCTGCTGTTGGGGAAAAAACATGTGTCTTCTAATCTGTTTACTTAATTCTGTTTCTTTTGCATCTTTCGGTTTCAGTGAAAACGGAAGAGATTGAGAGAGGGTCCTTTCCATGTGGAAAATTGCAAGCAATAACAGCATTAGTGCCTGACTCACATACACTTTGCACAGTAAATATAGTAAATGACAGAAAGACCAGCACTTGCCAAAATCATAGACAACTTTAAGCATTTGAACTATTTTAAAAATTGAAAACATGACCCAAAAAAAACATCACCACAGAATTGAAAATCAGTTCGGTTTGAGCCACCATGAATGTTGACAGGCGATACTGACAGGACAGAGCCGGCATGGTGATTTCCCACTGTGTCCCCACCCTATTTGAACGATGAAGAAGACGAAGAAGCATGTTGCATGTGCCAAGCATGTGCAAAGCGGCATCGAATGAAGGCGGTCACGACTCACAGAATGCAAATTCAGACTGCAGGATTCCATTTCTTGATCCTTTTCAGCTGCAAGACGCGGCCGAAGTGAAATCAAGGCTCGCCGCACAGTTTCACCACTGAGGTTCGACTTGTTTCCACTTGGATCACTGTTGGATCACTGTTGGACTGCATTCGAGTCGATTGGAGTGGAGACCTGGAAGCTTGACGAAGCTTGACCAGGTCAAACCTTCGCGGTGAGGCTCGACAGAGCATACAGAGCAGAGTTTCAGAAATCCAAGAGTTGGAGCTGAGCATGAACAGAAGAAAAGTCAATGGCGGTTGCAAATTGTGTTTTTCCCCGACTCAGATGTGAGGGTAGGCCCAGAATGGCCCAGATAGCTCATGGTAGGCTCATGTGAATGTCGCATTGCGACAATTCTTCCAACCCGTGTCCGGCCGTGTCCGTGACAGGTGAAGGTCAGTGGATGGCAGCTTGGGGCACGGCCTCCCAAAGAAATGCCGGAGGCCTGCGAAGAGGGACAGGACTGATATGATGCAATGGCGAAAATCCAGGCAGAAAAAGACAAGGAGAGAGAAGATGAGAGAAGGAGAAAGGAGAGAGAAGGAGTCAAGCCTTAAAGATTCCATTGACAAGAAGGGAAAGATGTGTCCAACGCTGCAGAAAAGATGAAATGCAAAGTGTAAAGACTTCGTGTGTGGAAGAATCAGAAAAGAAAGCGTCAGCTACCTGAGTTTCCCATGCTTTACAGGAGGAGGGACTCCACGAGTGACCTTTTTCGATCACGAAAGGATTCTTCGCTTTTAGGGGGGCCATCCCCTTAAAGGTCGCAGTTTCAACTCGAATTCTGTTCATGCACCCTGCTCCTGCTGTGCCATCGTTTTGATGATCGCCCCCCCCACATCTTCGTCCTTATCCTGGTCATCATCCCAATCATCGTCGCTCAACAACATCTTCTCCCTCGGCACCTTCTTCAGCATCATCTTCATCAGCATGTTCTTCTTCATCAGCCTCTTCATTTGCATCCTGATATTCTTCCTAATCACCACCACCACCACCACCATCATCATCATCATCATTATCATCATTATCATCATCATCATCATCATCATCATCACCATCACCATGATCACAATCAGTGCATGTGTATTTTCCCTGAGTCTCATCCACATCAGCTACACACTGAATGTTGCACTTGTGTTTAAGAAATATGTTGTTGCTTGGCACTCTCCTTTTCGTCACCTACTATCAAAGCATTGCACAACTACCTAAGTTGTTTCCCCTCAGTCGCTCTCAAGCAGACCTCCAATCCGAGAAAATACTTGGTGTTTTCAAGTGTCCAAGGCATTTTTATGCAGTGGATACTGCTTCTGTGCAAAGCTTCGTTTCCAGGTTTCTTGTGTTTCCTGTATGGTCCTTCCATTGTCTCGATGCCTATGACGAGATTTGTCACTTCAGGCGAAGCTCGTTAGAGATTTGCTATTTGCTCTGCAGGCTGGTTCAACGGTTCAGAAACCGTACATGCATTGGCAGTGGTTGGCGCAAGTGGGGCGGATCGACAAGTCAAGAGTTATAACAGATCGTTTTACGAGAAAAACCATGGACGGAGGGCAATGAAAGCCAGCAAGCTCGTTTGGAATTGGTCCTCCTGAAATGAAAATGTGTCTCAACAATACTAGGGTGAAGGATTTTTTGTTGCATCTTTTGTGCTGAGGTTTCACTGGTTCTTTAGATTGCCGGTTTTTGCCTCGCCAAGTCTTGCCTTAGACACTTTCTTTCTTTTCTTTTTACATCTATCTTTTTGGATAGCGTTTGGTCTTTCGAAGTTTTTGCTAAAAACATTTCTTAATTGGTTTTTCCATGGTTGTCCACTGGTTGTCCACATTCCAGTTGCCAGGGAGTTAGCAGCGACTGCTTCGATTCCAACTGCGAGATTGATCCTGCCGTGGTGCTCACAAGGTGTGCTGCCCATGATGGGCACGAAGGGCACGAAGATGCGCGGGAAAATGGAAACCGACGGAAACCGACGGAAACCGAGAAACTGGTAAATTGCTTGCAGTGTCGCTTGTGTAGTTTTCTGATTTCAGAGAGATGCTCAAAATCTCAATAAAATCAGCAACTGACCAGATTTCAAAATTAGAAGCTAAGCTGACATAGCTCGTTGGATTTCGTAAAGCTCTGATAGGCTGTTAGGGATCACTATTACTGATCCTCGTTGGATTTTTGTCATGTTGGTATGCACACTTGGTAAGGGTAATTTTGCCATAGACTCTATGCTGAACTGTGTTTTGGTATACCAATTCATGGTGTGGTATCCGTGTGGAATGGGGGTATGTCTGGGGTTTGGATCCTTGAGGCCTACGTGGTTTCTTTGCCAACGGATTTTGGAACTTGCCAAGCTCCACTTGCGATTATCCAACGATGCCAAGGACCAGAGAATGGAAACAGGCAGATGTCCACTAGATCAGCCAGACGAAAGACATTATCTTAAGATACATATAAATCAAGTGGTAGAAATAGATGATGACGGCAAGGAAACCTTGCAATTGTTATTTAGAGTCTTGACTCGCAGGTGTAGTACAATGTAGTACAATAGTACAATGTCCTGTTCTGTCAAACGAGAAGGTCTTGTAAAGTTGTAAAGCCTTTCTTCGTTGAAAGTTTGGAAGGCAATGGCATTTTTTGAGAACAAAAAGAATGAACGGCTAAAAAAAGAGGCGAGTTGCCAACCGCTTTGGCACTCCGGGGTGACACAGGATACTTTGTAGACCAAAGACCGGAAAGAAATCGTGGTGATTTCGATACCGAGGATTCCTCTATCCTACGATTCAAGCATGTTCAAATCAATGACTCAGACATTCTGGTTGCAGCCAAGACCCAGAAGCAACGCAAATGACCACAGATCTAGACAGCAACCATGAGAAGGTCAAGAGAGGCTTGAGATCATTTGAGATCACACATCAGTGTTGTAGACTCGTAGACACTCGTAGACACTCGTAGACACTCCAGGATTTGTTTGACACCAGGACACGGCTTCATCGTGTCGAATGCGTCAAGCGCTTTGCGAAGCCTTGCGGAAACAGCTTCAGGACACAGGGGGAAAAGATATAGAGAGAGTCATAGAGTCATAGAGAGTCCCATGCAGCTGCCAAAGCTATGTAGAAACCATGGCAAATTCAGGTGCAAAGTCTTTGCAAAGTCACTGGAGCTTCTCAATTTTCCGTTTGGCCTTCCTTGGTAGATAGGTCCAATAGGTATGCTGTGGTGCCATATGGTGCCCAAAATCTGAGTGGTTCTGGATTTGACGGACAGTAACGACACACTACGTATCTACGTCAAGGATTTGCTTTTATCATGGAAGGCATCACGTTCTCCAGTAGAGCCATCATGACTATAAGCCTTTACCAAGCGGCAAGAGGGGTCCTATTGGTCCTATTGTACTGTCCTGGCTTTTTTGTGAGACCCGTGTCATGACAATGTCCTGTGCCGTCCCTTCCAAGCCGAAGCAACAGGGCTACTACGAAGTGCTCGCCCAGTTGATGTCCTCTGAAGGCAGGGCTTCGTCCGTCTACGTCCAAGTGAAGTCCGTCAGCAAATCTTGCAGTGATAACTAGTGATAACGATAGTGCTGGATGGTGCTGGATAATTTTCTGGCGTTTCCACAGCTTTCCACAGCTTTTTGGGTCTTCTGATACTCGGCTGACCCTATGTCTTGATAGTTCTTGATCTTATCGTTTGGGAGCTTTGCAGAGATATGGACTTGGACATGACCAACTTCATTCCGGCTCAAGCTTGAAAACAGAGCATGCATTGCCAGGTTATGGATCACACTTAACAGATATTTGTAAGCAAGCTATCGATACTGCGGGTGTCGGCCATGGGTGGGATAAATTTGCGTCACACACATTGAGTACCACAAGCCAAAGGACACAGATTTGATAGAAAGTGAACATGAAATCCGGATAAATCGACCAATTCAAATTCTTTCAGTATGTTGCCGCTGAAGAAATCGCCGGTTCCTTCGGTTCCTTCCACGAAGCCATGCCAGTAACTATGACCCCAGTGCCAAATGGCGAGTGCCATGCAGATGATTCGCCAGATGTCAAAGAGCCTGCGGATGGCCTTGGCGATGTGCGACCCTTCGTGCATCGGAGAGTTTGGGGTCTTTCGGCGTTGAGGTCGCTGATCTCCTGCAAAAGGAGCAGCAGGAGGTGGAACGAGAAAAGTCCCTGCTGCAGAAACGGAAAAAGAGGATGGAAGAGGAATCTGAACAACTACGCCCAAGAATATGTTTATTGGCTTCCTTGGTGTGTTCTTGCACAGCACTGTTCTTTCACTGTTCTTTGGCCTGCTGGTGCTATGGATGTGTTTGGACCCCCAAGATATAGCCTCTGCATTGCTGCTGTGCTTGGCAGTGATGCTGTCGCTGCCCTAAGCTTATGGACTAGCGCTGCTCGGATTTTTTTCTTTGCAGCTAGTGCTGTTCAGTTTCACGACGGAAGAAGTTGGCATGTTTTGGAAGCTTCAGCTGTTACCTCCTGGGCAACCTTACTGTGATCATAACCATTTGGACATATGTGATAGCTGGATTCTGGTGGACGGTGCTGGCAGCTGGGCGGCTGTGCTGTGTCATATCTGCTGTCATGGGTCTGGTATTTTGTGACCCTAACACCTTCGAGGAGCAGATCAAGATAATGGAGATCAGTGATCAGAAGTACATTGCCCATCGGATCATCATGTTTCGCGGCAAAGTCCTTCCAGGCACTGGCAAGTGTGTTTGTTCATGGCCAGCTACGGGGCAGCTGCTGGTGCGTTCCCCTTTATGGGGAACCCAAGCCATGGGGTTGACGCTGGTGGACAAAGTGGATAGCAAACATCGAACGTGCACATGGGGAAGGGGCAGAAATGGAGGTGTACTTTTCAAAGGCATGAATGGTGAAGGTAAAGTTCGGGGGTTCTCGACGGCCGGTGAAGAGCGTTTGAGGCGAGAAGCTATTCAAGACAAGAAGCAGGACTTCGTTCAGTCGCGATCATTTTTGAAGACTCTTCCTCTCAGTATTCGCGGGAGGTACAGCGTCTCTTTTTGGCGTGGCTTCCAGAGGAAGAACGCCACTTCCTGGAGGCACCCGAAGGTCTTGGGAATTCGCAGAAGGCCGAAGTAGCATGGTTTGAACGGAAGGGTTATGCTTACACTGAAGTGGAAGTAGACATTTCAAAGTGGCTCCAGTAGATGTATCCGTCATGAACGTTTCCGCCTGAGAATTCTAGTTGATCCAGCAGAGCGGTTGGCCAAGCCACTTGTTCCTGGGTCTGAGGAGACTGCGCTGGTCTCTCATCAACAGTAATTTTTGCTAGAGTTTCAAAGCAAAATTGATTGATTTGATGGCTTGGTGACATGGACTGGCACTTCGACCAGCATGCGCAATGCAATCTTGAACAGGGTGTCTGAATTGTCCCAAGATCGCAAGACCTTCCCATTTAACCGATTCCATCATCCGATTTTGCAATATGCCCTGATTTGTCCCAGTATCATGGTGTCACCAATCACCAATTACTTTTGATGATGATCACTTCTTTTATGGAGATTGGTATCAGCACCATGGCTCATCTCATAAATGCATGGTTGTCTCGGTATTGTCACAGTTGATGGAAACAAATACAATGTGTATATACTGTATATACATTATATAATATATATATATATATCATCCACATGTCACCCAAAAATATATCAGTATCCTGGTACACATCTCTTGATGATAACCATCCCAGTACGATGCCTGGTCAGTGGGTTTACTCATTCATCAGCTTATTGTTTGTTCTCAATTTGTTATACATATGTTACACATTATACATGTTACACGCAGTATACACAGTATACATTTGATATATGGTATATGTATATATATATAATATATATATATAATTATATATATATATATGTATTTGATCCGGATGTTGGTTATCTGTCAAAAAATATGTAGCGTCACCATCGAGGTCTGACCTTACGCCACCTCTGGGCTCAGCTTTTGGCACCGCAAAGCCGCCGGGGAGCCCAAGGGGGACACTGCTCCGTTGGAGAACGGTGTTTTGGGACAGCTTTTGGGAAGTGGGAAATTTGCAGAAAACGCGGAAGGGATAGATCAAATAGTTGTCGATCAAATAGTTGTCGATCTGATATTTTTTTGGGGACGCAATGGGTTTTTCAATTCTGGTAATTTTGAAACCCCTTAAAGGATTGAGAAGAATTGCAGAGACTAGTCTTTGTCATTTGTGCATGTTGATCATGTTGTTCCTTCTCTTTCCTTGGAACCAGTACTACAGCGAATCTATCTATCAGAGGAATTGAAACTCTGGTAGTGGTTGGACAAATTGCCAGTTTGTGGTTCATGAACCAATTCTGAAGTTGTTGACGGAAAACTACGAGATGCAGAGTTATTGTTTCAGCATCGTTTCACCTAGTTGCAGAGTCATCACAGGAGTCACCATGGTGGTTTGTTGTCATCTTTGGAGCCCAGGTTTGCGCTTTCTATCACAGCTTTGTGAAGGTAGTCGAGGCAAGCATAAACAGGGACTCCGAAGACACAGCCACGTTCGAAAGGTAAATGGAAAAATTGTTGTTCTGGCCCTGTTGGGTCGAACATTCTGTGCCACCCTTTTGCAAAACCCAACTCCGTTCTCAAATTTGGCCCTTGTTTTTTTCATCATACAGTCTGGAACAGTCATCCAACAAGAGTTATCAATCCCAACATCAAACGTTGATCATATCCCAAGTATACACTTTATGATACATTATAGTTTATATTTCACATAGATCCTGCTATATGTGCAGACTTTTCTTATAGAAATTTTCCCCCACGGAAATTCCCAGCAGTTCCATAGCCATAGCCGTTTGCGTGGCCGGCCACGTCCCGTGAGGCGTTTTTGGCTGCGCCATCGCGTCGATGGTTTGGGCCTTTGGTGCCTCCGGGGACCAGGTGGCACAGCACTTGGCCAAGGAGATCCTGCGAGACTTGGACCAAACCCATGGATCCCATATGGATCCCATGGCAAGATGACATGTTAACTCAATGCTAACCATAATCTTGACATAGATTATCGCCTAATATCACCTAGATGATCATATAGATTAATAAATGTGAATAGATGTTCATAGGCGATGATGTTGTACATACATTGGTTAACCTGGTTACCATAGACTGTTATATTACCATTGACACTGTTACCATTGCCGGGAACAGTATGCCAGCAAACTTAATAGCAACAAATTTAAGAGCAACAAATGGTACCATGAAATCAACTATACCATGATCAACTTGGTCCAATTTTCTGCCATGAAATGTCCATTTGCAAGAGCAGAAGCTGATGAAATGAAAAGAGAGTTGCTAACTCCGGTTTGAATTGTAAGTCGGTAATGCATGCAATGCTAATACTATCAAGGTTAACATTATTCTTATGAGTCAAAGAGAGTTTCGTTTGTTAATGGTGGAAGCAGATTTTTGCTAGTTTTACCCAACTGATAGAATAATGGTGTTGGCAATAGAATGATAACGGTATAATGGTAATGGTAGCAGCACTCTACCTACTAAGAAAAACATCCGATAATCAATGGATTTAATGAACAGATATTAGATATACAATTAGCCAACGTTGGAAGGTGATAGGCAGTACCGTTTCCCACATTGATGCTGACACTATGCGGGTTTGTTTGTTATAGATGAATACATATGTTGAAGTTTATGGATGATATATGAATATGCTGAATAAGAATATGATGCCACCATTGTGCTTGTATATAACATAAAGGAATTTGGAGTATGGTTTTATGCCTCACTATTGAGCAGTGCGGGGCATGTTGAAACAGTGCATATATTGTGATTCTGCTACCCATGTTTCGAGGCAATTTCACTTTGTCTCTGAGCATTGTTTTGCGACTCGCCATGTTCATACCTGCAGAGTGTTGCAAGATGCTGCAAACATCTGCAAACATTCCAAAATTGCCTCTTCTCAGGCTCTGTTGTGAAACCGCTTTGGTCAATGATCCGGGCGTGGATGACAGAAGGGGAACTGCAGGACAACGACGCGCACAATCCACCTGAAGTTCGGTTGAAACTGTTCGTTTTAGGTTGTGCTGAACAGTAAGTGCAAATGAAGCTGCAAAGCCTAAATTGGAGAGACATTCCATGTCCGATTGCTATCTATTGCTCTCTGCCTTGATCTTTTCGGTGGCGCCGGATAGAAGCCGTGCGTTCTTGTACTTTCTTACTTGTGTGTTACTGTGTTCGGCAGTCACACCCACACTTTCAGCACCTGTCGACTGTCCCATAGATGCGGAAAGCTGTTTCTGTTGAACTTGTGACCTAGAATTCTGGGCCAGGATCCATATGGAGAATTTTTTGTAGTGGCAGATGCATCAGTACCTTTGGAAGACCTGTGGAATCGCCACTGGGCTGACTTTGAGCAGGTTGGCATAGTGGCATAGTGAGGTTTCCTTGCCTGCAGAAATTGACCATGATGCTTTGCTGTGTTCCTGGTTTTGATGTGTTTTGGATTGTGTTGGACTGTTTGCTTTTTTCATTTGTGTGTGTGTGTGTGGGGTGTTATTGAAATTGTGATGTCACCTTGAGCCATGCTGTGAGGCATGTATTCCCTGGAGCTGGAAATGGTGCCAAGTTTCATCTCGCTAGAACTCGCACGAAAGATTCTCCTGACAGGACGGAACCACTTTTGTGAAACATTGACATGTCATGAACGGTGTGGCTTTGCGGTGTAAAGATGATACAAAAGTATTCCATGCATTTCCACGCACCATTTCAATCATAGGGTATCGATGGGTATCGTTTCAAAAAAAGTTTCTATCGTTTCGATGACAGGAAAATCTGTGAATTTCATTCGACTTTGTTGCCCTGGTCGGAGTTGGTCTCCTTCAGGCTGTACATCTCGATGCTGGAAGTTTCATGCCATTCATGCCATTCAAGTTCTCATGTGTCAGATTGGAATGAAGCGTATCCAGAAATGACACAATCATGAAAAAATAATGAAAAGATGCATCAACATACCATGAAGATGCGATATGTGCCATGGTGGTGCTTGGATTAGACTCTCTTCATTCCATAAAAAGTTTCGCAGATTGTGCCACAGATGCACCTAGATCGCCAGGTGCAGATGTTCCTATCGCAGAAGAGGAGGACGCAGCAATGGACACAACTTGAAGTTGGAATTGAGGGCTTGGAAGGATTGGACATCAAAGAATTTTGAGATGTGAAGGGTGACTGAACACTGAAACTTGACTTCGGCAGTTTGCCCAGAGGGTGAGTGCCAAATGGCATTTATTACTTCAATATTTCAATGGCAAACTTGGCAGTGTCCAAATTTCAGAATTTCCCCGATTTCGATGGCAGGGTTTACGTGTTTACGTGGGCACTGTCCCGGGCTAGGAGATCGGCGCTTTCGACTTGGCCAGCCGGGTCGGATGCCAAAAGTGAAAGACGGCTGAAGGATTTCCAAAATTGAACATCTTTTGAGAACATTGAATGAATTTGAATGATATCTAAATATATAATAATATATATATATATGATATGATATTGAATGTCAATTGTCCCTAACATATTTGAACGTTGTCCTGGAGAATCTCTGACTTTACCTAAGTTAAGCCAAGATGGAGCAGCAAGAAAGCCCACTGTCTTCTGTGACGAGAGGATTGAGACAACTTGCATGAATGAAATGGATAGAAACCTGATTAGGTCTAAATGGGTTCTACACAAGTTTTGTATTGGGCACTGGGGTGCCAAGTTTCAAGAGGTTTTGGCATCTTCTGACACCTCGTTTCTCTCAGACCTGGTAAACTGTGCCGTGCAGTATCGTGCAGTGCCCAGATGTGCCAAGGTTGAGCGGGCTGCGCTGCAAAACAACGAACACCTTGTGAAGCTCATGATGGATCACTATGCCCTTGGTTTCAGCCTCAGGTCCTGTGAGCCAGATATCAGCAACTCAACTCTTGATGAGAATATATGAGAATGAAATGTAGACAGTTTTCTCACATCTTGTCATAAAGTTGTATAAAGTCAATACTATAACTGTTTGCCAAGAGATGCCAAGAGCCATTCGCAGAAATTCATGTGGCGAACAATGAAAGCCCTTCCTTCCTTCTTGCCTCACTTCATCTCACTTCTGTTAGGTGAGCATGCCCTTGCTCTCAGGAGGGAGCGGATGGGAGCCGAGAAGGGAAGTAAAAAAGTAAAACCAGATTCCAAAGATCTCTGATGTCAACACGAAGACGACGAAGAAGACGAAGAAGTAATTGATTTCTCAATATTTCTCAGAGGATGAACAACTAAACAGGTCATCATAAAGAATAAAACGAGATGATTGATAATCTGAATCGAAACAAGAAAGCACCTGCAGCATCGTTTTTGTTTATCAAACAAAATCGAAGCCCTGCGTTTTCCATGTGTATCTTTCATGTAGCTTCGATGTGCCGATGGCTGGTCGGCTGGTCTTCAACTTTGAATTATCTTCGTCATCTTCGTCTTCTCACTCCCCTAGCTGAACTAAAGAGCGATTCAGCGGTTGTGGCTTTTCCTGACCCAATTTTCCTCGTATCTTTGCTACACCTGGTGAGGCGTTTCCTGCTGCTTGGCCAGGGGGACTTTGTGGAAAGTCTGATGGATGCATTGCATGAGGAGAGAGAGTGGAGAGATGTGGGGAGATGCAAAAGTGGAACTGAACTGAAATCAAAAACTTTTGCTTTTTGTGAATTTTTGTGTGCAACAAACTCCTGGTGCCCGTTGTGGCGGCTTGGTAAAAGTAAACATTCTCCCGGCATTCAGAAATGGCTGCGGTCCATGGGATTGGCAAACAACTTGACTCCAAGATGGGGAAGAACATCTGCACCAGCTTAACGTCACCAAAAGCTGCGCCATCTGCAGGAGCTTGATTTGGAGGCAAGCAAGCTCCACAAGCACCAACTGATGGGCATTCTGGAAATGGCATCTTGATGGCCAGGCGATGAACAAAGAAACCAAAATGCCTCCCCTCTATTGTATGTAGAGGTGCAAAATTTAATAAAGAAGTGGCGATGGCTGTGGCGTGAAGTCATCCTTGTCAATTCAGCAGGCTGCGAAGGAAAGAAATTCCAAGAAATGAAGGTCTACGAATGACAGAATTCAGAGGAGACCAACGCATCAAATGAATTTACCAACGACCGGGTTTGTTTCATCCGCCCACTCCATGAGAATTGGTTGATTTGCAGTCGCTTTAGGCAGTCGCAGAGGAGGCATTAAATCAGCCGTTTTGATTCTTCTTGAATATGTGCAGTCAGTGCATATTGATGTTTTTTCCACTTTAAGCAGTTTCCAACTCTCAACATCTTGTGTTTTTTGTCTGCGTTTGTAAAAAAGATTTTAAAAAAGTGTAACGTTCTCTCATTTCTCTCCTCGTTACGTCTCTTGCCGCCGTCTCTGCCGTCTCTGAGGCCTTGCGCCAGAGCAACGCCCAGTTTTGTTCCGCGGATGTCTTGGGGCGACTCAGCGTGAAGCTGCGCAGTTCCGAGCGCGGCGACATCGGTGGCGTCGGTTGGGACGTCTTCCTATTGGACTACGCCATCGATTCACCGCTGCACGCCACTCGACAGAACTCGAAACCGCGAAAGCTGCACATCGGACATTCAGAAGGAGTTTTTCATGGAGATTCACATCTATTTACATCATGCAGTATGCTGATGTATATAATTTTTTACATCATGTCCAATGTATAGGTACGTGTTGTATATTACATGCTGGATGTGCGTAGTGTGACGCGCTGTTCCTTTGACACGAACACTCTCAATTCCTTTCTGCCTTGGTTTTGTATTCCACTTCCCAGCATGCAAGTCGGAAACCTCAAAAGTAATTTGTTTGGTTTTCCTTTGAAACATGTGCATTGTGTTCGCTGTCTTCATGTCGTCTTTCTCAGGTGGTGTTTACTCCAGCAGTCATGCAGAAGTATGATCGTGCCTTCTCTTTCTTGTGGAAACTCAGGACAGTGGGGTTTGTTCCGTGTGGGGAGGGTCCCCTAGTTCCCATTCTAGTTCCCATCCTAGTTCCCATTGTTTTCAGCTGCATGTCGAAACATGTCGAAACCATTCAACAGAACTGTGGTCCTTCGTTGGCAAAACTCCTCACATGAAATTGTTCAAGGGTTTCAAGGATTAGTTCAACTAGATTCAACTAGACTCTAACTAGACATATCTAGACTTCCATATGAGTTCCATATGAGTTCCATATGAGTTCCATATGAGTTCCATATCCTGGAAGTTCTTTGAAGTGGTTGCCATTGGTTGCCCGCGTCGCCTGGTTTTTGTCTCTGCCCTGAAAGGCGGGTTTCTCACGGTCTTGCGGCCAGCTGGAATCAGCACATGGTCTTGCAGCGACATTTGGTGTGGCATGGCTCAAGATGGCTCAAGGATCTCAAGGACACGGCTGAAAGGCGGAAAAAAAGGACACAGAAGTCACAGAAAGGCAGGAAATTGTTGAATTGTGAAAGGTGAAATGAGGTGCACTGACATTGAAATATTTGAGAAGTTGGAGAAACCAGCCACTGACTCATTTCAGTCGCGCAGCACAAAATCGATTCTTGCAGATCAATTCACTTTACAGAAAGCATAGAAAGCATAGAAAGAGATAGCTTGCTAAGGTGCAGCAGAGATAGCCTGCATTGGTCTCCAGAGCTCAAGTTGGAAGTGAAGCAAACGCTGCATCGTTGCACGTGTTTGCGCAACGAGATGCACCACTTTGCACCTCGGACGAAGCAGTGGTGTGGGAAAAAACGCGCCACTGGGAGACAAATGCATTTGACAATTTTAATATTACATTTATTATATGATGGAGACTTCGAACCTTCTTGGTCAAAGCCAAACTTTTTGTAGTTATGGTGTCTCCAACATGAACGTACTATGACTATCTATAACTAATCAAGGGCTGTGCGTTTCTGAGGTGCAGAATGTGCAGGCATATGTCTTGGAGGTTGGCTGGGGAAGTTTGGGCAAAATGGATCGAGATGAAAAACGTGCATTTCATAGAGATGGAATGAATTGAATGTGAGTTGGATGGTATTGGAAAAAAGTGAGATCCATACGGCGTACGACTTCTGTGTGTCTTGCTCTGATTTGCTATGATTTGTGTTTGTGATCTTTGTATTTTGTTTGTGTTTTGTGTGTGTGTGTGTTTTCACTGTGCACTTGGGATGAGTCGAGGTCTTGGATACTTCCTGGGCAAAGCTCCAAAGTGGCTGGCAGAAGAGCACCGATCTGGACCAGGTCACTCCAAGCACTGCTTCATATCTCATTCATCCATTTTCATATTGTAGAAGTTGAAAAATGGCAGAAAGATTTGGATATCGACATGTCGAGATGTGTGAAGGTTCGTGCTACGACTGATAAGTCAAGTCGCGATGCATCAGTTCCCACCATCATGTTGCAGGTGATTTCGCAGCATGACCGGTATTTGGCTTGTGTGGAAGAGGGCGCATTCTTGGCAAGAGGAAGCGAGGCTGCTGTGGGAAGTGTCTGAAACTAATGCGAACTAAAGATGCTTGAATACACGCAGCTCGAATCGAAGAAATGGCAAGATCTCAAAACCCAAGCTGCAAAGCAAAGAAACATGCTTCGTTTGTTGCAAATTTACATCTATTTATATCTATTTACATCTATGTGGCAAAGGTGTATTTGTTGTCAGTGGGCGCACTGTAGACCGTATTCAATAAATGTATTACTGTATAGCTATATGTGCAGTTGGGCCCTCTTAGAGCAAAATAATCAGATGGAGGTTAAAACAAACACTGCACCGAGTAAGGAGCCAGCCAGCAGAAAGACTCTCAGAGCAGAGGATCCATCAAAGAAATGTTTAATCTCACTTAGTGCTAGATGTTGTTTCTCATATGAGCTATATTGACTATCTAAATAGAAAGATATTGCTTTCATTTTGTAACTCTATACGCTACAATACGCTATAATACGCTATAATATGCAATAATACGTGACAGACGTAACCTTGAAGTAACCTTGGATTCTAAGCGTTTTTATACGAAACCAATACGAAAGCTTTTTATGTTTGGATTTTTGGAGTCGAGTGCCTTTGGAACGGTGCCGCGAGGCCATCCTTTCGGGCGTCACGACTCTGTTGGGTTTGGCCTTGGAGTTTTGCTCGCTGCAGGAACAGGCCCAGTTTCGCGTTTCTCGAAGTGTCGAAGTCGAGTTGTGTCGAGTTGTGTCGAAGATTGTTGAAGTGTCCAGAAAATAGATCGATAATGATCGATATCAACAGCAAACGGTGCTAGAAATATATCTAGGCACCCTTGATATGTATCGAAAGAGGGAACGCATCAAGAACATGCAAGAATTGTTTTGATTCATCCTCCTGACAAACACCCCATCTTGAATCAACAAAAATACAGAAGTTTCAGAAACCCCAATCGTAGACAGTCTGTAAGCATCTGCATGGTATCTTCATGTTGCAAAAACCCTTGGGTACCTCAACCTGGGTGCAGTGGGGTCTTCAAAGACCCCTGAAGACCCCAGCGTGCATTTCAAAGAGGCATGTGCATCTTCATTTGAAGCAGCGGAAGCGATGCAAGAAGCAGAGGATGTCGCAAGTGTTTTTCAGGCTGGGAAAGGAGGGGAGGTAAGGTGTTTGAGGCAATGAAAATGTGATTTATGAAGGAAAAGGTACAAAGATATATAAAGATATGAAGAATCACGACCATATGAAGGGATGAATTCTGAGGGGGAAAGAGGGGTCCTCTTCCCACTAGTGTTTAATCTCGTTTGATCTTGTTAACCAAGTGATGAACATGTGGCGAATATGTGTATGTCTTCAGATGAACGAACTATGGATATGCCGTGCCAAGCAAAGGCAACCTGAGGAAACTTCAAGACATTTGTTTGAAGACGTCTCATTCTGCTGCTTTTGCTGGTACACAACCGAAGCTGAAAGAAACTTGACCTATATATAACAAAATGACATGCATATTCACATGGCAGCGTGGGAGCATGATGGGCAGCACGACACGTATCGACATGCCATGCTATGGTGTTTTCTGACCCATTTGACAGCAATTTACAATGTCTTTGCAATGTCTTTGCAATGTCTTTGCAATGTCTTTGCATGTCATATGTTCCAGGTTCAACGGGTTCCATGAATTTTCCATGTTTGCTTCGCATTGCTGACATTTTGAGGCAGTAAGAAGTCGGCCGTTTGCTCGATCACTGGCTGAATGCCGAGCACAGCTCGATCACTTGGCATCGACCTTTACGATGAAACTTCAGCTGTTCCTCAGAGCTTTGGAGGAGAAACGGAGAAACGGGAGAAGAAAACTGCAGTTTTGCGTCAAACACGTCAAGCACAAGTAAGACACGTAAAACACAAAACGCTGAGCGTTGCTTCGCGTTGAAGTTGTTTGGCAGAGACTACAGTGGTAAGACGATGACAACGCTTGCAAAGGGACAAGATGCTGAAGAATGAAAACAAGATTTGGCCAGACACAGACATTGAAGGGGAAAAGACACTATGAGAAAAAGCTAGGGTGCTTGTGAATGAATTGTATTTCCATCTGTTGCAAAGCATAAGCTTCGTAGAAGATGCAAACAGGTCATACAGGTAACAAGTTCAGATTGCCACACCTTGTTCCAGGCATTTGCCATGTACTTAGATTCCGACCCAGACATGACTTGCATATACTGTTATATTCATAAACGGAAAGTTATGACCTTCAAAGAGATGGCTGCAAAATGCAAACTTCAAATGTGATCCGTAAATGTCATGAACGCGGATGAAAACGTGATCCGCAGATGCCGCAGACCTTGAAAAATTGTGACATGACGCTGACGTGAGGACCAACCCGAGAGACACAGTGAGATCAGCAAAGCACTCAGAGAGTTCCCGAGATGATCCCAATATTGCAAAATATTGATTGAATATTGTAAAATATTGCAAAATATTGCAAAATATTGCAAAATATTACAAAATATTGCAAAATATTACAAAATATTGCAAAATATTGCAAACTCGAAACACGGTGAAAGATGTTTGAAGAAAACTGCCAAGACCTGCTAAGCATTTGCGTCGTTTTCTTAGGAAGACTTGGAGAGTGTACATGAGGGCACTGCATTTTGATAGTGACAAATTGCACTGCAAGCATGTTCACATCATGTTCACATCATGTCACTGACTGTCAGCTTAGGCATCCTGAGCTTCCTCCTGTGTCGTTTGGACTTCAATGCCTACTACGAGCAAAAAAACAAGAGATGGGCCGAGGGCTGGGTTTGTGAGTTCATTTGCTGCTGATGTTCCTGGTGGAAAAGATCCAAGTTGTAGATGTTTATAATTCATCGCAGATGTTTAATAGATGTTTGATGTTCAAGTATTATGTTCTTGTCTCTTGCGATTCAACTCACTCCAAGCATTTCCAGTGCAAGAACTTGCAAGGTGTCTTACCAATGCTCCTTGCATATATTGGAAGATATTGGAAGATACTAGAAGTATTGCTTGTTTTCTTTGTCCGTGCGTCTTCATCACCTCTGTGCCCAAGGCCACTTTTAGGAGATACATGATATACATGGGAGATACAGCATGTATCAGCATGCTTGAGTATGGCTGATCAATAAGTTGCCATAGCTCAGTTTACAGTTTGGAATACCGATGCTTGTGCCTTATGACAAGTTGGGATATCGGACAGCTTAATGCTTCATTCAAAGCTGCAGAGAAAACCCACACACTTGGCCGCGTTGCACAACAGTGACAGAAAGTCACAACCAACTCCGTACCTACACTAGTCACTAGCTTACACGCTAGAATGTGTTGACATTGCATTCACCACATCCTACAGAGGGCTTCAAAGTTGCCTTTCGGGCGCCTTTCGGACTGGTTTACTATGCCATGCAGTGCAGTCCTCAGGAATCATGACGTTTCCACCACAATTTTTGCATACAGAACCGTTGAACCGTTGGCATCGTGAGAATCTGGGAACATGTGGGCTGTGGCGAAAGGAGGTGGTTTTCGAGCCGTCTGTCTCAGCCAGGATTTGAAGGAGGTCTCACCACCGACACCGGTCCTCTTTTGAAAGCCTTACTTATTAAATTTGATTCATACGATTTTGATACATAAAATTATCATATAATACATATAATATAATATAATATAATATATATATATATAATACGTATTAAGCCTTTGTGCCTTTGTTTGAAGCCTTTGTTCACTTCCAACTCGAGGTTTTATGGATGGGCGCCGCCAATTCCGGAAGGTGGGGCTCCTGGAGGGGAACGTGAAATGCCATGACAGTTCTAATGAAGCGAAGACTGAAAACCATTTTATCAAGGATTACATATGAGTTTGACCAAATAGAGTGGGTTGCACATTATCATCACGTTCAATTTGCAATTTTTATTGTTGTACAAGTTGTTACATGATTCTTACCTTGTTGTTTTGATTGTTCTTATGTGTGTTAACATTGCGTAAACGATGATGTCCTTTTCTGCGCGTGTTCTTCATGTTGTGTTCATCTCCAGGTGCGCCACCGCCGCCACCAAGCGGAGCCCCAAGCGCGTCCGGGGTCTCGTTTGGACATGAAAATACAAAAAAAAATGTGAAACGGGTAAATCAAATGAAATCACGACATGTTTGGTGGACAGAAATGCAACATATTGCGTAACATGCTGACCGCATCGTTGACGGGAGGACTGTGACATTGCAGTTCCTCTAGGTTTTTGTTGTCCCGTGGCCTAGGCCAATCAATTTGGTGCTGCCCTCAGCAACATGCGAGAAAGGTCACCAAGCGCTGACCGCTGAAACGAAGATCCATTATTTTCCATGGTATTTACCATGGTATTTACCATGGTATTTACCATGATCTTGGAATGTGTGAGAGTGGTTGACTGTGTGTGACAGTGTGTGACATGCTCCTGGAGACATCACGACGCTGAGGCCGACGGCCTTGCAGGTGTGTTATCGGGTCCCCAAGGTGAATTGCTCCTCGTCAGAATCATGTGACGCATTGCATCGAGATCTGTGAGACTGTGCGCAGAGTGAGGAGACGTTGGCTTTCAATTTCTTTCTCTATCTCTAATGACTCTAATACTTTACAACATATTTGCAGCATATGCATCACCTTGCTTTCAATTGCTTTGAGGCTTTAATTTTTCTCGTTTAATTTTGATGCTCTCTTTCTCTGATCAGCTGAACGTCATTTGTGGCATGATTTAGCTGAGGATAGGGAAAGGCCTACAGCTCCTGGCAGCCAAAGGGGCGTCTCAGCACAAGTTGAATTGACACCAACACTGTGCTGAACACATAGGTGGTGCAGTTAGCCAATTTAGATCAATTTAGGCATCAATTTAGCATCAAGTTAGCCATAGTTATCAAAGTTAGCTAATCCTCCAATTCTTTCAGAGCTAGAGGCGAGACGTCGGGCCTATTTGCCAAGCCGCTTCAGGTCTTGCCAGGTTTGCTTGGCAAGGGAGGTGCACAGCCAGGCACAACGTGGCACAACGTGGCATCCCTCAGTCCTCGTTGCCACGGTTTTTTGGTCACCCCGTTGATCCCGTTGATCCCGTTGCTCCCATGTTTTTTAAATTGTTAACATATGTTGACATGCTTTGAACATGTTTGAACATATTCCCAAAATCTTGATTTGTTTGATTTGTTTGATTTGTTTCCCAATTGATGTTGCATTGCAAAGATGCTTGGAAATTTCAAGGGGTCACAATGGTGGTACATCAAACTCATTGGTCATGTTCCGTTACACCGAAGTTGGGCTGCTGCGCATTGCAATCTGAACCGAGAGGTTTCCAGACATCCCAAGGGTAAAGTCACGAGAGCTAGCAGTAGTTAGCTGGAGTTTGCTCCTGCTTCAGCAAGAGAGGGGCATCTGAGTCAAACAGAGTGATTTTTCAGGTGAAACCCACCCTCCCCCCCAAGCTCTGGGGCATTTTTGGAAGCAGATGGTCACGAGCTCAAATCCTGCCAGCGGCGGTCTGAGCTCTCGACAATCTGTCCTAACCATATCTTCCCAATCTGTCATGAACCTTAGCTTTCGTGCGCCCCCCCTGGGCCTCAAGTCTTCTCTCAGTTTCTCTCAGTTTCTCATGTTCTCAGTTCAGCCTTGGAGGCCTTGGTGCTGGAAAGAGTCCGCAGGGAGGGCTTGGTTTTGGTGGCCCACCAATGCATTTGCCTTAGAAATGACGCACTGCTCAAGGCAAAGAAAATGTAAATGGAACAAAACACAACAAAATAAATGTAAAACGGAACAAAACAGAACGGAACAAACATAACTGAGTCAACAGAGCTACGACAGTAGATAAAAAATGACTGAGATATGTGCAAATATTCTGAAACGACACATACCTAACCAGTGTGGTGTATTCTTGGAGGCATTGTTTGGCGCAACCAATTCTACTTGCATCTTTCGATCGTGAAGGATCTTGTACATGATCCATCTAAGGCCTTGTCCAAACGCAGGTGCGGCATCACAGCAACTTGAAACAGAGATGCATATGACGTGGTTTCTGCTGGGCCAAATCTGACTTGAGCCATTTGGATCCACAGTGCAAAGTGTCGAGCCACACTCGAAGCAAAGTTTGAAATGGACCTCGCGGTCATGCCATGCAAGGTGCCACTCCTCTTCCTGCCATTGCTCAGAGGCACGAAAAAGCAGAGACTGGAGACGTGGGAGACTTCCAGAGACTTGCAGTATCGTTTACAAACAGAATCTCCAAATAAGACGAGGAAAAACATGCCATTCTTTTGCGGATGTTCTCAATGTTCTCCATTCCGTTCGGTTTCTCCTTCCGTTCCGTGACTTTTTCTGTCCAAGTTTTGTCCGTGGAAAGTTGCCGCGAGGTCGGGGTCAAACTCTTTCGATCCATTTCTCACAGAGGTCCAAGGCTTCATGGAAAGCGAGACCCCCAGTTGCACCATGTTGCACCATGTTGCACCAGTCCACGGATCTTGAGCCATCGCAAAAACAAAGAAAAAGCCAATATGTTGCATTGAAGCATTGAAACATTGAAGCATTGCAATAGCTCTTGTCAACCAAAAGGGCTGGCATTTGTTTATTTTGCATGATTGCATCATCATTGTCGATTGTCTACCTTTTCCTTTGGGCCATTGTTTTGATGAAGCAGGGCTAGCTTTGGAATGCTTTGGTGGGTTTCCTTTAGTTTACTGATTTGCTTCTGCCATGGGCATTGCAAGTGTCACGGTCGTCAACAGGATGGGACTTGGAAACACGGTTCGAGCCAAAGCTGGTCGGAGTCCAATGGACAAATGCTGTATCCCAGCATGACACGCAAAGTATCCCAGCTGGGATGGCTTAGTCTGACATGTGCTTTATTCGTGCAACACGGCATGCGCTATTTGTGCCTCATCTAGAAAATCAGATCTCGGTTTTGTATGTCTTTGCTTTTCTGTCGCTTCCTATCCCTCCCCTTGTCGCGTTCTGAGTCAATTTCTCCAAGATGTGATCAATTTCTCCAAATATTGATGAAATATGTCCACTTTCCTTTCCGGCTCTTTCCGGTTCTTTCCGGTTCTTTCCGGCTCGCTGCTTGAGGTCTCGTACTTGAAGAGGGATGGAGCCCAGCCTCTCAAGGACACTGCAGAGAAAAAAGTCCAGCGACTTCTCATTCAATCTGAATTCAATATCGGTTTACGCCAGGTCATCTAGTCTCTAGTTTGATTTTTGCTATGACATCTAGATTGTGTAACAATTACATCACATGTAGAATACATTAGAATACTGTCTCTATATACTGTACGTAGTCACTCAAAAAAACAACATACATATATCCTGCTGTGAAGTACAGTGAGCCTACATTAGCAAGTGATATGCAGGTGATCTGCAAATTGTCCCCGTTTCCTTTTCGTCCAGGAGGAGTTGCAACGGCTTGACCGGGAACTGCAACAAGCTGGCGTGCCTGAACTGAGACATGACATATGATCCATGATGGTTCATAGATAATAAAGCATGAGATGATGGACTAATCTACGGTGACATATCGCGATAATATCGGCAGGAAAGAACATGTGGATGTTTTCGTTTCATATGCGACCACAGTAGATACGGATGGACCTCAGTGTTAAGATAATAATAACACAGTAGATATAAACATAATGTACGTTTGAGATACGTGATTTGATTAAGACATATGCGTCTGAAATAAGTCCCTCGTGGGTCTTGGCAACCAAACGTCCACAACATGAACCGCAAACGTGCCACACAAGGAAGAACGGAGCCGCTGCTTCGGTACCATGTGCAAAGATGTGCCATGATGTGCCATGCATTGCAGAGCCAGGTGCCACCAGTTTGCCGCTCGGGCTATTTGCTCGTGGTCTTTGGAGAGGTGAGTGAGAAGAGCCAAAATCTCAGGTGATGTCGGCCTTGACACGGCCTTGACACGGCCTTGATGTCATGTGAACTAGTACTGAAAAGGTGAAACAAAAAGAATCCCAGAATCACATCCATAGTCCCAGGATTTGGGGCGCACACCTGCAGGTTAGTCACGGAAAAACGTTCGGAGAGTGTGTGGATTTTTGATGATTTTTGTACGGCCAGCATAGCGCTGAATCACTGGACCTTTGGACTACTTTGGACTACCTTTGGACTACCTTTCTGAATCTTCTTGTGCTCATTTTGTGAAGCAAAATGACGAGAACTCGGGACACCATGGGACACCCAAAGGCACTGACGAAGACTTCCGGTACTTGCTCACTGGAAAGCCACTTGACCAAAGCGAAGCTTTCGTTCTCGTCCTCTTCCAATTACTTGATACATCTTGATACCATTTCTGCGTTTGTTTCCCAAATGCTAAGAGATCTAAGAGTACTTGAGATAACCGGATACCATATGATGCCATGATGGTTTCAAGGGAGGTCTACATCATTGCAAGACACCAATTCATTTCACAAGCTGAGTTGCTTTTACTGTCCCTCCTGCACTGTCAACGTTGAATCTTTGGAATGTTGTCATCCTTGACTTTTCACAAAACTTTTGATAAGTGATAAATCTCTAACTAAGCAGTTCTTGCCTGCTTCAGATAGGTCTGCTGGTTTGGTCACGTCTTTAGCACCCAGATGGTGCTTAGTCTGCTAAGTGCTGACCCTTTGCATTTTGAAGACTCTTGTGGTGCGCGCTTCCTGCAGTTCATTGAATTTCATTGTGTTGTTGTCATGTCGGATTAGTGTAGCAGCGTAGCATTAGCGTAGCATTAGCGTAGCATAGCTCCTCAAGAGTCTCTGCTTTCCATGGCGAATGACGTGGAGATAAGATCCGAACGATGTCGCGGGTTGACCATGCCAGGAAAGGAGATGGTGCAAGGCAACGCTCAGCTGCAGTTGCTTCCAGAGTGGGTTGCAACATGTTGGGTCTACCGGGGGGGTTTGCCCGGAATTTTAACATGTGGGGTGGGGTGGGGTGGGGTGGGGTGGGGTGTGTCAACGTTGGTGTTCATGTGTACACATGGTACGCTGCTGCTGGTGTGTGGTGATGTGTACACATGGTGCTGCCTGGTGTGTTGATGTGTAACAGGTACGTGGGGTGGGGTGGGGTGTGTCAACGTTGGTGTTCATGTGTACACATGGTACGCTGCTGGTGTGTTGATGTGTACACATGGTACGTGGGGTGGGGTGAGGTGGGGTGGGGTGGGGTGTGTCAACGTTGGTGTTCATGTGTACACATGGTACGCTGCTGGTGTGTTGATGTGTACACATGGTACGCTGCTGGTGTGTTCATGTGTACACATGGTGCGCTGCTGGTGTGTTGATGTGTACACATGGTACGCTGCTGGTGTGTTCATGTGTACACATGGTACGCTGCTGGTGTGTCATGTGCAAACGTATCACGCAATCGCAGTGTCATGATTGGGTTCAATGTATTTCTTCTTGCCATGTGTCTCCTTTCTGTCTGACTCTTTCTGTTTACTTCTGGTGTATGTGATATATATATATATATATGTATGTATACTTCATGTCTGTCTATATATGTATGCAAATCGTGTCAAGTGGAAACGCTGTAAATTACAGGTGATTGTTGATTTTTCCGCCAGATTTGGCGAAAAAAACTCAAGTTTGGACATTGTCAAAACATTCAATGATCAATTGCATCTGAAAAAAAGATATGAAGTCTACTTGTGAACAACTACATTTTATATGAAAAACACAGTAAAATCAACACCATGACTACAAGAACAACAAACGGCTGCGGATACTCATCACATGTAGTCACAGTCGACCTTGTTCCAAGCCGGGCAAACCCCCCCGGCGGAGCCAACATGTTGCAACATGTTGCAATGGATTTGCAATGATTTGCAAGGAATGTTGGCAATTTGTGAAAATTCATAATTTCAATTGCACTGATTTACGGGAAGACTATCAAAAAAAGAAAAGGAACTGTGAAAAGACAGAGAGAGAGAGAGAGAAAGTTGGGAGACAAAAGCCATAAAGTTGTCGGTTGTTGATAGGAAGCAAACCAGTGCCAGACAGTCAATGCCATTGCACTGTTACTGTGGTTTACTTTTCAGATTTGTTACCCTGGCTTAGCCTGGCTTAATGTGGAACTCAATTTGCACTACGGCGTCAGCATGTTTGGCGCACAGGGAAGACTCACCATCTCCGGAAAAGGAAGAAGGCCAAAAAGGTGGGAAAACTCCGCATGCTCCTGGCCAAAAAGGTGGGGCTGCGCACTGCGCGACGTCGGACTTGTGTCAACTCTGTGTCGACTCGCTCCCGATTTGAAGATGCCACGTTTCTGTCGGGCACAGGTGAAGTTAGTCAGGAACCCAGAGCAAACAGTGGAAATTTATGGATTTTATGGACATTTTATGGATATTTTATGGACATTTTATGGATATTTTATGGACATTTTATGGACATTTTATGGACATTTTATGGACATTTTGTGTTTTGATAATTGACAAACATTTGACAAAATGCGTTTGCTCCCACATTTTCACTGATCCAGGTGCCACCTCTCCAAAGTGACAGCATTCCATAGGGTAGTGACATGTAGTGTCTATGTCGCAGTCGCAATGACTAGATGGTAGCGTTTCTGGTGCTGCATGTCGCTTTCCCACACGTTTTTCCGGACGATGCTACGTTGATCACCGTGTGGTTATCGCTTCTTCTGGCGATTCTCTTCTGTTTTCCTATGGGTAGCGTGTGTTATGCTTCAGTGCACTCCGTGGACTCTGTGTGACTATTCTGCTATTCTCCTTTTTCTCCTTTTTCTCCTCCTGTCCCTTTTTTCTTTTCTTTTTCTTTTTCTGTTCAAATTGGGATGCAAACATACCAACATACAAAGTGCACATTGACAGTTGACGACACTGCGAGGTGCAAAGCCAAAGCCAGAGACACGAAGTGCACCGAGTCGCAGCCCTGAGAAAACCAAACAGCACTCAGAGCACTCGGAGCACTCGGAGCATTTTCTGCTTGTGATCTTTTTGTGAAGAGAAAAACAGCAGAGCAAACAAGCAGACAAGCAGTCCCTGACTTGTTCACGGTTTTTTACGTTATGAGTCCAAGAGGTGTAAATGGCTGAAACAAAACATACAGAAAGTTCAAACTCGATGCGAAGACAGCGAAAGGACACAGCTGGACGGTGCGGATGTGCGAAACCAAGGTGTGGCACCGCTGTCCAAGACTTGGATGATGGAAGAGGCCCAGATCTCAAACAATGTCAGCATTCAGATGCTTAAAAAAAATCTTGAGATATTTTGAGATATCTTGAGATGTCGAATCTGTGGAGTCTGTGGAATCCATCTGTGGAATCCCTGAATTTGAGAGGTCGATGCCAGCTGCACCCGCTTCAAATTGGATGACAACGTTCGAAGTCGACTGATCAACGCCATGCGAACACGCTCGAGCACCTTCAAGGTGCCAAAATCTGAGACATTTTTGGTTGCTACGAAGATCTTGGTTTGGATGGGATCTAGAAAATAACAGATTTTGGTGTTTTATATATCATTATTTATCTATATAAAACATATCTATAATAACTATGTAATAACTATATTTGCTGGGAAATGTTGAGCTTTGGTTTTTTTTTTCTCAGGGAGTGATGACAATGACATGCGAAGGATGCGGGGCAAATCTTTCGGCAAAATCCATCAACAGTAAGAGTAATAATGCCCTCATCCGCCTCATCCGCTGACAGCATGGGTACTAGTGGCTGCTTTATAGAGGTGATTATGGCTGCTACAAATGATTGTCAATTTTGCAAATGCAATTCATGTTGCATGAGATTCAAACAGATTCAGTATGACAACAAGTGCCAGAGCAGACAGCCACTGCTGCACTTCCAGGAAGACATGAGAACGTTGAACGATGTCATGCGGGCTGCGAAGCATCCGAAAGGTCGCTCAGCTCATCGTGTTGAGGGACGGAAACAAGATGGCTAGCGGCTAGGAGAAAGAGTAAGCGTGAACAACAAGTTGTGGCCTTTAGACATGCACATATACATATATGTAAATGATTGTATATATAGTAAACTGTATA